AGATTATGCACTGTGACATTGCTGACGTTAAACACAAGGGATTTCTACTAACGATTGGAGTTTTTTGGGAATAAAAGCTACAATCACAGTCTATGCTATTCGTCCGCTGTTGGGTCACAGTGGGCTGTATTTTTTTTTTAGGTTCTTTCTGGCATCACAACTGCACGGTGGTTCGAGGGATTGGTAGCTCACCCAGCATGTTGGTGCAGTGTTTGCAGTCCTTTATTCTCTCGTTTTGTGTTGAGTTTCTACATTCATGTTGAGGTTGGTTAGCGAGCCAGTGGGACGGGCGTTCGTGAAAAATCAGAAACGCCACTGATGAATGATTGAAGCGGGCAGTGGCGCTACTTTGTGGTCCATGGTTTTGAGATAGGTGACCAGCAGTCGCATCGCGGATTGTTAATTTTCCATTAGTGGTAAGAGACCTCTAGATCTTGCCGTCCGATGCTTTGTGGTTTTGCGGGTGTTGACAGCGTCCTTCATATTTTGGATGAAACCGTTTGATAAAATTTGCAGCCGAGTCGATTTTGCCGTTGATTCCAATGTGCCAGTTATCACGGTGCAATTGCAGCGAAGCCAATCCGATCTGTCACGATATCAGGGGGCCCTATGGCTGGACCCTGTTGAATTATTCGCGTTTATCCAGCGTCAGTTTAGCACGTAGGCTTTCGCGACCAATATCATCCACAAGAGGTTTTTGGGTTAGATCGCGTAAATAGAAAATGTGTCGTTAAAACGCGCCACCACCCGACACAAGCCAACTAGTAAGGTTTGTCACGTAAACAGAACGTGGCCAATTCGTCACGAGGTACAGCACACCGGTGTTGTTGGAGAGCCAAGCCACAACGTTTACAATCTGAGTACGACGTTTCGCCAGCATTACAACCAGCTTCTTCAGGCGACCGGCCAGATTTGTGGAGAAGTCTTAATGTTTCGTTCCTTATCTCGAGGCGTCGATGTGTGACCCACGCAGCTGCGCTCTATGCACAATGTGGTGGGGGGGGGGGATAACTGAGGCAACGTACATTATGCATGTGATTCGCTTTCACGCAGCACTAAAGGCGGGTAGCTATCCGAACGGTTAAAGTTATTTATATTTCTTTCAATTTCGATACATTCTCTAATTAGTCTTGGTCAGTTGTAGCTCGTTTTGCACAAAACTTCAACATTATCATTAAATGAATGTCCTTGTTGGAATGCGTGTTCTGATACTGCTGAAAGTTGTATTTGGGATAATTTAATATTTTCTCTGATGTTCTATTAGTCCTCGTGCTGATCATTCGTTCCCTGTTTGGCGCAACATAACATTTACCACACGTGCCGTTATCCAAGCGTGTTAATGCTCTTATTTGTGCGAAAAATACAAATTATGAGTATAAAAAGACATGTTTTTTATTGGGGGTTTCCCCACTTTGTTTTACTTACTGTAGCTTTAAAATGTACGTTTTTTGTTTTATTTGCAAGCGACATACAGTATAATGCAGGCAATAAAAAACGTGTGCCCCCTTCCCCAGTGTGGGTAAAAGGGCCTATTGAAGGGACTTGTGTAATACTGGGTGGTGCAGTGTGTTTTTGTTTGTCTGGTGACATAAGACTGATGGCACAATTTGAATGGAATTGTGGGAGGTGTGCAAATAAATATACGATATACAGTATTACGTAATTGCGGTGGCAATGTTGTTGCCGGGTTCTACCGTGCGAGGAGGGGGAAGGGCTTTTATACCGGGCTCTGGAATGTTCCTGTGTCTCACGTTGGCCCGTTGGCGTTTAAAACGCAGCGGGTTTTACTGCAGCATTTAATTACCCGTGAGAGACGAGGAGACTGTGTGAGGGGCTTTCTCCAGCGTCCTGGTTAGGCCGGGACAGTCCCCGGTGGTTTAAGAAAGCTTCAGGACACCGGTACACGTACAGACTCTGTGTCCAAAATCTAGATCTTGTCAGCGATTATAGAAAACTAGCCTTTTGCCCGTCCAAGGACGGGTGTATTTCAGTAAATCTGAAACTTGCAAGCGAAAAGCAGACCGCGACGTGATATTTAATTGCATCAATTTGTGGAACATTTGTAGTGGCCATGGGTTGGAGAGTGATAGTGGGTTTTTTATATTTCCCACTGGTGGCAGAGGAAACCTCGTGCAATGGTGGCCTAGCGCAAGCGTTATCACGTGGTTTCACAAGGCGCACAAATTACTATCATTTTGCACAATTCACGTTGGGCAAGCTTTAGTTCACGCGTATATAATTAGCATCGAATGTCACCATTGTCAAGCCTCTGCTGGATGAAGGTCCTCCTTCCCCTTTGCCGCGCCAGTTGTGAGAGTCGTTTGACCATACTTCACCTAAGCTGGTCAATGCGAGTTGGGAAAATCTGGGTGCCCAGGACCGGCGGCAGATATCGCTCGCCACTGATGTTTGCCGTGACCGGTGCACAAATCACTGCGCCACCACTCCACGCCAATTTATTTCCTTCGGTTAAAATTATGAAATGCGATCGATGTTGCATTGCTAAGCTTTTTTCAGTGACAGCCTTGATGTGGCTATTGTACCTGCGTGGTGTGAAAATTCGTTGTCGCAAACCATTGCTCCATAAGCCAGGCCTGGTCTCAGGGCTTATAGTGTTACTACTCCTTCCCGAGTGTTCACGATAGTGGCATCGGTGTTAACGGATGAAGCGTTGCGTGTACGGGTGTAGCGATGTAAACGGCAGGAAGGCCCAACTCCCATGCCTTGCAAGCCGGTCAGGTTGACCATCGCAATGCAAGGGCAACGCTCTTAGCCTTGTGCGAGCTATCGGTTCGACAGAGCTGCACGTGGCGTCATGTTGTTGTCCCCAAATAAACACAGCTGTTGTGTGTGAATAGCACACTTGTTTATGTTGATTCAAGTTAATGGCATGCAGCTTGCACGCATTTTCTTGTTCTGATGGGTTTTCTCATTATTTAGAGAGAGAGAGGGAGCGTTTGAATTTGGTGTATAGATGCGCTGGTTTACTCTGGATTCTTTAGCTCATCGTAAATGTATTGAATTATATACGTGTTGTGTATAATTGGGTTTTGTGATTTCTCCTGCTACTAAAGGCGCTAACAATTGCCGCAGACTTCAGATATTCTCGTCTTTAATTGTAGCAAAGCTATCTTTGTTAGGATATCATAATTGATGTTTAATTTTATATATAGCATCTTCATTCGAAATATTCAACTGGCATCTCACATTAGCTGAAAAAACTGCAGGCAAGCTGAAAGGTGGCAGGCAATTACCCAAGTTCTGCATTTTATATCGTAACATGTTTTGGCCAATTAAAGAGTGTTTTAATCATGTGGGGGGGGGGGGTATGGGAAACTGGAGCACCCAGAAAAACCCCACACGTGTGAGGAGACCACTCCATCCCATACAGATGAAACCAGATGATATATTATTCTTCGCTTTTCTTTAACCATGCTCTCCTGGCAAGCCAGAGGTATGGCACCTCAACGCCTAGGGGAAAGGAGTTTCACAAAATTGGTACGATCCACCCACCCTCGCCTTCACAGTGCTGGTTTAAAGGCCACGTGTGTAGCCACCAACTACACGGCTTTTAGCCACCACTACGCGGCTTTTGTTGACAATTGTACAACATCTCTGTGACAATTGTAACCTGGCTTGAGAGCAGGTTCTGAATTTGCCAAATTCCAAAATTACCCACTACAGGGACTCTTTACTTAAGAACGAGTTAGGTTCCAGAGGTCTGTTCGTAAGTCTGTTTGTTCGTAAGTCCAACTTTACTCTTGTCGATTCCAAACATGTTGTACGGCATGTACAGTAAACACGGGGGATTGACTTAAAAAGTAGTATAATCTCATATAGATGTAGATGCCACTGGTTCTTCACGTTCTGCAGATGTAGATGCCACCACCGCCATCTATTGCGCGGCGATTGAGCTTACGACTCTCGGTCCAAACAGGAAACTGGACGTACTCACAGGTTTGTTCGTATCTCTGAAAGTTCGTAAGTCGAATGTTCGTAAGTAGAGGCGTCCCTGTAATTAATCAATTGGGATTAATGCATAGCAATTATCGTCCATTACTGGCAGCAGGCTAATGCCCCAGGTCCCTTTTGCAAATGAGAATCCTCTGTCCTAGTCTCTTGAGTTCTCATCTGGTTCAATAAAATATTTTTCTAAACCTAAAACGTGAACAACTCGTAGATTAAAAAAACGTTTAAAGTGGAGTCATTCAAATTTAGATGAACAAACATGGGGGAACAAATGTGTCCAGCTATGGATTGTTGAATCCATCTGTGCGCTAAGCCCATCACCTCACCGATGCAATTGGTCAGATGTCCAGATTGTAGCACATGTCCTTCTAAAAAAACATCTTGAAACCCGGCAATGCTTTCCTGGGTAAATGATGAAAATTATTAAATATACTATGATTAGCAGTGTCAGTCTAAAGCAAAATGCCTTATAATAAAATTTTCTTAGGGAAAGTATTAATCATCAATAGAAATTGCAAAGTTTATTAAAAAATTCCAAAGTATTTTTTTCAGTGCGTGTGATAAAGTAAAGTTTGTGTAAGATCAACAGGGGTGTTGATGACGTCTTCTGTAAACATTGACCGTCCAGGCTGCTGTGTTTGCTTGGGGTCACTTTCGAGAGAAGCTGCGATTGCCCGCACACGTACAGTATAAGCATTAATGAAGTTGGCCAAACATCACAATATAGGACCACGGACCTTGGGCAATTGTTGGTTCTGGCTGCCTTCCTAGTCTGTGGTTTCCTGTGCCTCCTTGCGCGAAAGCTGTTGTGCATTACAGTTTCTCCAGCGATTTGTGATGCAATTTGCAAGTACGTCGCAATGTATGTGAAACGGTGTAAAAAAATACCTATTATTAATTACTGCTTTGCCTACTGTTATCCTGTCTGCTCATCTCATCCACTCATCGTAACCCATGCCACGTCCCAGCAGGTATTGCCGCGAGTCTCAAATGCACCGTCCACCCCTGTGTGTGTGTGTGTCTCTCCACAGCTGACGAGCATCAACAAGGCGGTGAACACACAGGAGGTGCCGGTCAAGGAAAAGCATGCACGCAATATCCTTGCTACCGGCTTCGGGTGTGTGTCAGCATGGTTCACGTGTGTGTGTGTCAGTGTGTGTGCTGACGATCGGTGGTGCAGTTGTTGACACGTTGGCAGTTCCATTCCCGGCCACGGCTCGCATCGGCGGTGAACATAATCTGATCCGGTCTCCTGGGACTCCATATGGTCGGCTCAGCCTTAGACGAGAATCTCGTGTGATTGTATAATACGTCGGCACTGGGGAGATCAAGGCGGCCAGGCGTGGTGCTAGCCACACCACCCCCTTCGTGCATAGTGTCGGCTGAAGTAGATGTTCGCTAACAGCACTTTCCCTGACTGCTGGTGTAGGCTATGTTGACTAGTCTTTGCTTGCTGGGTGAGGGTGAGAGTGATGTGGCGAGTGAAGGGAGATGTGAATGGTTGGGGAGAGAGGTGGGTGACGTGGGGAGGAGAGGAGCAATGCGGGTGGTGTTTAAGAGAGGTGGATGGTGGTGAGGGAGGAAGTGAGATTGGGTGGCGTGGTGAGCGGGATTGTGGTATGTGGTTAGGTACTTTAATCTGCAGTAGCCGCACCTTACGCTTGCAGTGCAGGAGCTTTGTATTTCATCTTCTTATCTCTCCGTGAGCTGCCACGTTGCTGTGTGTTTGTGAGCATCTATTCACGGGTGGAATTTCTTCTATTTTTTTAAAATAAAAATGATATATTTTTCAGGCATTGTCAATCCACTGCTGGGTGAATTGTCTCCGTCTCCCCATGGTGCGTGTCACCGGCGGGGTTTGTTTGACCATACTTAGCTACTTTGGCCAGTGCCGTTTGGTGAAGAACTGTGGGGGAGGGGAAAAGTCAGTCGGTTCCGATAGCACTCGCCCTTTATATTATAAATTGCGGGGAATTGAACTCTGGGCTGCTGGGTACATAGTGCAGTGTGCTAACCACGCTACAATCACTTCCCATGCTTGCATTTGAAAATAATATATTCTACATCCCTTTGTCAATCTTCTGCTGGATGAAGACCTCCCCACAGTCTCGGTCATGAGGGATTGTTTCACCATACTTCCCGAATCCGGTCAGTGTGGGTTGTTGAAGGTGGGTGGTGGAGAAGGCCCAGTACTGATTCATATATCGCTCGCCACTGATGGTAGCTGTGACCCAGGTGTAAAACTGAGGATGCTGGGTTCATAGTGCGGTGCGATTACCGCTGCTCCACTGCTCCTGCTCGTGCTACATTGCATTTGATTGTTGTTGTAATTATATATAAAAAATAATAGGTGGCGCGTACTTTATAATCTGTTTTGTTTTCTCCCCTCCTTGGGGTCTTGCTCGTAAATGAGATATGAGGGCGCTCATTTTCCTCTGATGACCCCACACTCTGAAACTCCCTTCCCCCCCCCCCCCCCAGTCGTCCGTGCTGTCAACTCCCTGCTCCTGTTCAAGTCCAGGCTTAAAGGCTCTCTCTTCTCACCTGCCTGTGACCAAGTGCCTCTCTGTCTCCCTCTCTCTATAAAGGAAATGGTGCCCACTATTTCTATAAAGCATCTTGAGATGCGGTCACATTTTGGTGCTACGTCAAAAAACAAATGTTATTGACATGCACAAACCTATAGACTCACACGGGGACCCGTAGCCTCACACCTGTGACTATCTGCCTCTTTATAAAATAAACGCGCCTTCTGTTGTGCGCGGCATATTGAGACACTACGTAAAACCCACATCGCATCGTCTTGACGACGGGCGTTCACCTGGCGATGGTAGAATGTTTCATTTGTTCCTAAGTGCAGGTGTGTTTGGTCGTGCGTGTGAGCGTGCGTGCGTGCGTGCGCTGGGACAACAATAGCATTGCACTGTAGAGGACTGCATTTGTTGGTTTCCTAGCGCCGGCTGCACGGCGCTCGGTGGTATGGCGACGCCTCCGTTCACCCGCCGCTCGCCGGTTTGGCATCATCGCGTGCTCGTCGCGTGTTGGCGTCGTTTTACCGCCTCGAGCCCTCCAGCGCGATGGGTGCACAACTCCCACAGCGCGCAGACCGGGAACCGTCTCTGTGCGGACGGATGCTGAAACCCCCCGCGTGTGTGCGCACGTGGCACAAATACAAGAAGCGCAATGCCCCGGATCGATTGGGCAGTGACGCCGTGGCCGAGCAGCAGCGCACTCTCGGCGCGGTTCAGAACTTCGTGGTTCGAATTTGGCGACCACCCCGATTGGAGTTTTTTTGTGTTATTACTGTGATGTATGCTAACCGTAATGCTGCTACTACTACGCGCCATCCGCTTCGCTCTCGGTGGACGTTAAGAGATCCCGTGGCGTAATTCGAAGGAGCGGGCCATCGTGCGGTGGCGTCGGGGTCCAAATTTGCCAAATTCGAAAATTGCCCCGCGAATTACTCAATTGTGTTTATATATCACACACACACACGACAGCAATCGTCGCCCCCTACTGCTGGCAGACTCGCGCCCCCAGGTCACTCTTGCAATTGAGACTCGTCATTGTCTCTTTTGAGCTCTTACCCGGTGAAACAAGTTAAACTTGAAATTTATGAACCGAAATAGGAATTGGTGGCAGTGTATTGCTGCATCGATTCTTACCAATGGTATACGTGCGTTGCGTGAGAAGTCTGATGACATGGGTTCGATTTCCGGCCACAGCTACGCCTAACTTCAGCAGTGGGTGATATCTGAACCGGTCCTGCCCACTCCCCTCGTCACCAACCCACACTGGCCAGTGTGGTCAACGACACGGCATGGGGAGGCCTTCATCCAGCAGTGGATTGTTGATGGAATGTAAAAAATATATACGTCAACTAGTTTTTAGCAATACGAGTTCGATGTCTATCGTAAGTTTAATCGGACTTGAATGACACCCGTGTGAGGCTTAACTCGTGTCTATTGTAACGATGTGGAAAGTCATTTTCCTTGCTTCTCGAGGATGACCTCATTTCAGTTTAACAACTTTTTACAAGCCAGTCCCGTTTGCCTGTCCTTGCGGTGCACATCCTACAGTCCGTTAAGGCTATACGGCGGATCTTTGTGTCTCCTATATGTTTAACTAGCTTTACTGCCCGGCTTCGCCCGGAACTTGGATACACCACGCGCGGCCGCCTTTGTCTCCCCAGTGGCGATGTTCACACACCACAGCAGTTACTCGTTTGAGGCTGAGTCGACCTAGGAGAGGCGCAAGAGCGGTTGAAATAATCGTCACCGGTGGTGGCCATGAGCGGGAATCGAACTCGGGTTGCCGGGTTCGTAGCGCAGTGCGCTAACCACTGCACTACGATGCGTTACGCTTCCACATGCGCGGGTCACGTGACAGATTTGACGTCACAACTCACTTGCCGTGCAAAAAGTATATGCATTATTGAGCCCCCCCCCCAAAAAAAAGTGTATTTTTATAATTGTTGCATGGTGTACAGTCTGGAAAGTACCCAAATGGCAAATTTCAAGTTTGTTGCATGTCGGGAAGTATGCTAAATATTTTGATCAGACACACATTCACAACTTTGCCTTTTTATTTATATGGAGATTACAGGTTGCTGAATGGCAATTTATGACGGTAGGCTCGCACAAACGCTGTGACATCGTGGCTGTAAAATCCTACACGGGCTGTTGGGGCATTTTTATTGCATCCTTGAGTCGGCTGTTGTAATTGTTAATGAGTCACCCGTTGCTAATTTACATACAGCTGTGTGTTTAAAAAAAAAAACATTTCCATAGAGAAACTAGATTAAATGTTTCATTACATCAACAACGCAAAGACTTCTTGGTCCGGCTCTCGCACGCAATGTAACCATGGCAACCGCTCTACTTAAGGAGCAGGAATCGGACCGCAGGAGAGTGGGGGGCGAGGGGGGAGGAAGAGGAATAAGTTGAACTTTAGAGTCGATTTTGAGTTGATTTTTTTGTTTAACTGGTTGAGAACTCAAGAGACCCAGAATGGAGTCTCATTTGCAAAAGGGACCTGGGACATTAAGCCCGATGTATGGAAAGGAGCGATGATTGCCATGCATTATCACATTGGGTAATTTGTGGGTAATTTGGCAAATGTTAGGACCCTGTTAAGCCAGGTTGCAATTGTCACGGAGATGTGCAATTGTCAATAAAAGCAGTGCGGTGGTGGCTATGGACGTGAGCCTGTGAGCCAACACTGGAGTGGGAGGTTTGCAGGAGTGGCCTGGGCCACAAAACTGATAAAATAAATTCTAGATTTGAAGCTTTCGTGACTGCAGGGATCCATATTCTTTGGTTCTATTCGGTAAAGTCACGTAGGTAAAAAATAAAATCACAAAAATCACGACGTTTCGGCCACAACACAAGTGGCCTTCATCAGGTGAAGGGACCGTACTGTCACGAGGACAGCGTTGGATTTCAACGTGACTTTACCGAATAGAACCAAAGAACCAAAGAGTGATAAAATAAATACAATAAAAAGTACAACAATGCGGCATATGGAAGTTGGACCAAAAGTAAACAAATAGAAATCGTAACAAAAACGATGGTGTTTCAGAAGAAATTTAAAAAAACTGAAGCACTAACTCGAATCCATTTTAAATAACATAATTTTCCTCGGCGAAAGTTGGCTTGGACGGCTTACTTGAAAAAAAAAAACTGTTCGTAGTTAAACTAAGTTCTGGGAACATCGCAGAGTGGATTTAGGAAGATTATAGGAGAAGCCAGAAAGAGCTAAGGAAGACGGTAATAAGGACATGACAATGGGGAACCACACGGGAAGGGGTTGAGAAGGTCAAATCTGAGAAAAGGCTCGATGAAAGGGAACCAGGTCCTCCTGTAAACCATTTAGCGGACCCACCCCACCGACAGAGCCCTAGGTGTTCAAGGGTGGACATATTTTGCATCGGGTTTAGTCGGCTTCAAGCGTGGGTAGTTCCATGGGTCTTCCCATTTACTCGACTGGAGAGGTCTCCAGGGCACTGTCGGAAATTCAAAGGGCACCGATGGCCTGTGAATGCGTGCGTGTTGGGTTGAAGGGGGTGGGCAACTTTTGTGGTTTGATATTTGTTCGCGAGGGTTTCTCCCCCCCCCCCCCCCCCCCCCCCCCCCACGGTTGCGGCGTGAGAAGTAGGATGTGACCGTCCGCGCTTGACGGTGGGGAAAGAAAATGCTTGGCGTGAGGACTCGCTCGCACCCCTAGGGGCAACGGCCGCATGGGACTACTCCGATAACCGCGATGGCCAGATGATAGAACCGTCACACTGTTAGCAAGATACGTGGGGTACCCTGCACACCCCTCCCTTGTCATCTTCATCTCATCTCCACCCTCATCTCTATATCGCCCCTCTCTACTCATTGTGTACTCGGCGTCTTCCCTCTCTTCTAACCCTTTATCTCCTATCTGTTTGTCCTCTTCTTCCTCCTTTCCCCCAATATCTCCTCCTTTTCTCGTCCTCATTCGATGCACATCTCCCTTTTACCCCCCACCCTCCGACCCCTCCTCAAGTTAACTTTTATTTCCATATAAACAAGACCCCCCCCCCCCCCCCCCTGCCAACCCCTGCCTGTGTCTCGCTCGTGACAACGTCCACTGTTGCCTTCGCGTTCCGTCGGCGTGAGGCATGATCTCTGTGTTCTCTTTGTGCATCTATGGCGTTGTAAGCGCAGCTCTCACTCTGGTGTCCTGTCACGTTAAGCAACGCATCACTGCCAGGTTCGTGGTGCTGCACAGGGACAGCGACGTTGTTGCTTTTTACTCAATTTAGCATTCGTGGTAATTGTGCCATATTCGAGCACCGCCGTCATGAATTGGTGCAGCACCGTTATTGGCATATTTGCGTGCGGTAGGGTATAAGTGTGGGTACTACCATGTCTTCCAAGACATCTGGCCAGCATGAAAGATTGACTGTCCTGCGTGCGACTGCGATTACGAACACCAAACCAAGGCCCGCGCAGCTTCACGCTGCCCACAATATACATGTGAATGTGGTGGGTGGGTGGATGGCTGAGAAGGTGGATGGGCAAGTGACAAAGCAATTGAATGGCTAAATAGCACCTGAATCTTTTAATAGCCACTCTTCATAGGACATACGAACGCAATAAATTAGCCTGGAAGATTAGACCAAATACACTTCGACGGTGCTGTCCAGAGCTGCCTCTCGTGGAGGCCCTTCCACCAGAGCCATGCGAGCAACCAGTTGCGAAGGGCTTTTGTTTCCGATCTGCGTCGCGGATACTCGGGAGCGAGGAGAGGAATGAGTTGGACTTGAAAACGGGCGTGGATAGTGCAGAGGCTGTTGGTTGGTGTACCGCCCTTGACTCCGGCCGCACTCTGCATCATGGGCACGCACCAGGAGCGCGGTGCGCTCACCTTCTGGACGACGGCCAGCACGCTGCCGCTCTCCAGCAGCCCCGTCATCAGCTGGAAGTTCTGCCACGTGCTGCACAAGGTGCTGCGCGATGGACACCCCAACGTGAGTGGCGGCCGCACGTGCACCGTCGCGCCCCACCGTCGCATGCGCCCTTGTCCATTCGTTGGGGCCCTTCTGGCAGAAGTGACGCGAGCAAGAAGCCATAGCGAGGCTGCACCTTCACGTCAGTTGGGTGGCCATGTGCGACGCATACACGTTGGGTCCAAATCCTATCCATTGGCTCATTAACTCCATTCATTTGTTTATTTACTTTATTAAAAACCCGGCATGATTGACGCGCCCCTCGCTCGCGCCCATTCATTCAAATGCCCAAATCGCTCGGAACGCACCCGGTCTCATTGTCGTCTCTCGGAAACTAAAGCAGGTTTGAGCCTGTATTGTACTTGCATGCCTGACGTCCGTGTCGGTTTTGGCCCCGTGTGTGACGGACGGCAGGTGCTGCAGGACTCGCTGCGCCGCATGTCCAACCTGAAGGATCTCGGCCGCATGTGGGTGAGTGACTGTCCACGCTCGTCGCATCTCGCTGTCGTTTTTGCGACCCGGGCAGTTCCACAAATTTAGGCAGCGAATAATCTCAGAATCGTATCGACACATACTTAAAAACACTCAACGCGTGCGTTTTTGCAGCCTAGTATCATGATTGGTAATTGTTTTTTGGGCCAGCCCACTTAATGACCTAACCAGATTGTGTCGTCAGGACCCCCCCCAACCACCACCCCAACGTGGCCAAAATAAATGTCTGACTTGATTTTGTTCAGACCAACCCTGGGGTCTTGTCCTTAAGAAGTTTAACGCAGTTTCAAGAGAAACGTCATTCTTTTCGATTCTAAATTTGGTTGTGAAAAAATTGTTCAACTCTCCCATGCGAGCTGAAACAATAATTATTGGCATGCGTTTAAAAATGATTATTTAAGCAGGTGACAGTATAATTAGTTTGGCTGTGTCAGGTGATGGAGGGCCTGCACGACACAAATTGGGCCAGATTATTGTAGCTTTACCCAATAATCGATGACAAAGTGTAAGAATAAGCTTGCTGTACAGACATTGCTTACTCGTGTGTCAGCGGTTAGTGCACTTTGCAATTGGCCAAGCTTGTCAATCCAGGATCCTCCTTTGAAATCTGAGTCATTACAGGATTGTCGGTTGATGCTGCCATGGTGTCATGGTTAGCACGCTGGGAATCTGGAGGGCGCCGGTTCGATCTCCTGCTGTGGTAGATGTAACAAAGGGGAAGGTTTCTTAAATCCACTCCCGCCTCTGTACACCCAGCAGTATAAATGAGGTCGCTCGCGATGGGGCCAAAGTGTGGGTTCACCAGCATGGAAGAGGTCGGGCAAATACCCTCTAGAGGGGGTGTTCGAGAGCTTCCTCGAGTGGGGAGGCCCTTCCGGCGGCAGTCGCAGGAGCGATCGCTTGCAGGCCTGCGCCTTTTACCTTCGTAGTGATATTGTTCACCACAGGGCCAAATGCACAGCCGCTTCGGGCAGATGGTGAGCGTGTACATCAAGCTGCTGCTCACCAAGATGGAATTCCACGAGAAGGTGAGGGCCCCCCCCCCCCCCCCCCCCGTCGAGACGAGCTCAGATGGGTCACGAGTCTTGCTTCTCACGGATCTCCCTCCCCCTAGCCACCCGTGCCGTCGGCTCCCTGCGGTCCGACCGCATCTTGAGTAGCCGGGCAGAAACCGTGGGATATGGTTTAGTTTTTTTTTTATATATAGAGAGAGGCGGTTGGTCACAGCAGGGGAGAAGCAGAGGAGGGCTTTGAGCCTGGACTTGAACAGGGGTAGGGAGTCGACAGCACCGTCGGCTGGGGCAAGGGATGTCAGACACAGTCGCTATGTGGTGCAGTTGTAACACTTGCCCATTGCAGCAACAATTGCCTGTTCCATTCCCGACTTGGATAATTTATTTTGATGTGGGGTATATACAGTGAGGGACAAAAGTATTTGATCCCCTGCTGATTTTGTACATTTGCCCACTGACAAAGAAATGGTCAATCTATAATTTTAATGGTAGGTTTATTTGAACAGTGAGAGACAGAATAACAACAAAATCCAGAAAAACGCTTGTCAAAAATGTTATAAATTGATTTACACTTTAATGAGGGAAAAAGTATTTGACCCCTCTGCAAAACATGACTTAGTACTTGGTGGCAAAACCCTTGTTGACAATCACAGAGGTCAGACGTTTCGTGTAGTTGGCCACCAGGTTTGCACACATCTCAGGAGGGATTTTGTCCCACTCCTCTTTGCAGATCTTCTCCAAGTCATTAAGGTTTCGAGGCTGACGTTTGGCAACTCGAACCTTCAGCTCCCTCCACAGAATTTCTATGGGATTAAGGTCTGGAGACTGGCTAGGCCACTCCAGGACCTTAATTTGCTTCTTCTTGAGCCACTCCTTTGTTGCCTTGGCCGTGTGTTTTGGGTTATTGTCATGCTGGAATATCCATCCACGACCCATTTTTAATGCCCTGGCTGAGGGAAGGAGGTTCTCACCCAAGATTTGACGGTACATGGCCCCGTCCATCGTCCCTTTGATGCGGTGAAGTTGTCCTGTCCCCTTAGCAGAAAAATACCCCCAAAGCATAATGTTTCCACCTCCATGTTTGACGGTGGGGATGGTGTTCTTGGGGTCATAGGCAGTATTCCTCCTCCTCCAAACACGGCTTGTTGAGTTGATGCCAAAGGGCTCCATTTTGGTCTCATCTGACCACAACACTTTCACCCAGTTGTCCTCTGAATCATTCAGATGTTCATTGGCAAACTTCAGACGGGCATGTATATGTGCTTTCTTGAGCAGGGGGACCTTGCGTACGCTGCAGGATTTCAGTCCTTCACGGCGTAGTGTGTTACGAATTGTTTTCTTGGTGACTATGGTCCCAGCTGCCTTGAGATCATTGACAAGATCCTCCCGTGTAGCTCTGGGATTATTCCTCATCGTTCTCATGACCATTGCAACTCCACGAGGTGAGATCTTGCATGGAGCCCCAGGCCGAGGGAGATTGACAGTTATTTTGTGTTTCTTCCATTTGCGAATAATCACACCAACTGTTGTCACCTTCTCACCAAGCTGCTTGGCAATGGTCTTGTAGCCCATTCCAGCCTTGTATAGGTCTACAATCTTGTCCCTGACATCCTTGGAGAGCTCTTTGGTCTTGGCCATGGTGGAGAGTTTGGAATCTGCTTGATTGATTGCTTCTGTGGACAGGTGTCTTTTATACAGGTAACAAGCTGAGATTAGGAGCACTCCCTTTAAGAGTGCTCCTAATCTCAGCTCGTTACCTGTATAAAAGACACCTGGGAGCCAGAAATCTTTCTGATTGAGAGGGGGTCAAATACTAATTTCCCTCATTAAAATGCAAATCAATTAATAACATTTTTGACATGCGTTTTTCTGTATTTTGTTGTTGTTATTCTGTCTCTCACTGCTCAAATAAACCTACCATTAAAATTATAGACTGATCATTTCTTTGTCAGTTGGCAAACGTACAAAATCAGCAGGTGATCAAATACTTTTTTCTCGCACTGTATACTCTCCCCCTGTTCTGCATGTTTTTCTTCAGGGTTTCTCTGGTTTCTTCCCCCTAGCAAAAAAAAAACATGGGATGTAATTGGTATTTGCCAAACATCACCAGTGCTGTAAATTTACCTGCAAATTACTCAATTGGGATTACACACAGCAGCAGCAACATCGCCCCCTGCCTGGGTAAACACGCATAGTAGTAGTACGAAGTCACCGCGGTGGCATAATGTCCCACCTGTTGGTGAGTTTCGGTAGATTTGCTGGTAGATCAAGTTTTGTAACTCTGGTGGCGGGACCGTTCATCTCCTGCTCATGCCATTTTTCAAATTTTCAATGTGGTTCCCCGATTAGCGTGTACGAGCCTCCCAAATGCGTTTCCCCAGCGTTCCGTTTTCGGGATCTTATCTATCTACTTCGAAATCGTGTAAAAAAAAAAAATTCAGTCGTTGAATGAACAAAGAGTCGTATTATTTATATCAATTTAATTATTTTAAAAGTCCACTTCCATTTGCTTTAGCGGATCAACAGTGAGTCCTGTGTGTGCCGGGCTGCAGCGTTTCACAAACCAACCCTTGTTGCCCCCCCCCCCCCCCCCCAAAACCCCACATAGAATCCGATCTTTCCACCAAATCTGGCGGTGAGCGATGCCAAGCTCGAGGAGGCCGGAGGTAACGACGCCAGCACGATGTGAGTATCGCGCAGCTCCGTTTGCCATCTCGTGCCTGCGTGCGTTTGCGAGTAAACATTTTTTTTTTTTTTTACTCCTCCATAGGTCGCAAATTTGGCTGCAGTCTTCTGTTTTTGAAATGTCACGGGTGCCGCCCTGGCTCGCCCTGCTCCGCCCTCCGTCCTTATTGATGTTGTCACGCAGATTTCAGCTCACGGTGTCGATGTTCGACTACATGGAATGCGAGCTCACCCTCTTCCAGACCGGTGAGCTGAGCTTGTCCGCCCGCTCGCCTTCCCGCTCGGAAAGGGGGATCTACACAATCGCATGTGCACGCACACACGCACGCATGCGTGGCTGCCTCCTATCACAACCCACCGGAGCAGGCGGGGCTAAGACGAGGCTGAGAGCGTAGTAGATAAAAATGCGGTGGTCACGTGACGTGCTTGCAATGCATGAAGGTAGCCCTGCCTTCCTGCGGTTTGTGAGGGGATGAGTTATATTCTGAGCTCTTTCGGTAAAGTCACGTTAAAGGGAAACAATAAAATAATAAAATTTATATAACGTGACTTTACCGAAAGAGCTCAGAATATGAATTACTGCAGTCACGAAAGCTTTAAATCAAAATTTAGGGGATGAGTTTTCAATGCGTGCGTTTTGTTTATTTGCGCTGTGCGAGAGCCCATTGAGGCTTGGTCTCTTTCGTGAACTCATTGATTCATTTGTGGGCTTTATAAACAGGTGAGAGCCATTTTGAGACCGACTGCCTTTCATATTCAATGTGAGCTCGTGCTCTTCCAGACTTGTGAATGCGCATGGCAGCCAAGCGGCGCCGCTGCCACCTATTAACTCCAGTGGGAGACGGGGAGGGCCGAGTGTTTACTCAATTTCTGAACATGTCAAGAGCCCATTGACGCTTAGTCTTTTTTCATGAACTCATTCATTGGTGAACTTTATGCCCAGGTGAGTGTGCAGTGAGACTTGAGTCATACAAAGCCACGCAGCAAACATTTGATAACATGTCAATTACAATCCTATACAGAACCTAAAATAATAAAAAAAATACATTCATAGTCGGTATCTGTAAGTGAGTATGGAGCGGTGCTCTTGCACGTTTGTAGCCCTGACACTGTGGAATGTCCACATTGCTATGCCAGTGGCCAATCTGTATTAAAATCTGCCCGAACACATGGACGTTAACAGAGTAAATGAAACAAGAAACTGAAAAGTGCACAGAGGGGCAACGCTTTATTGAAAACGCTCCTCCGCACCGAAAGAGGAACGCGTGGACCGGTGGGGGGGGGGGGGGGGGGGGGGGGGCGCACGCGAGCGGGACGCGGTGAGCAGACGAGCACCATCGCAAACTCGAACAAGCACCGCATTCTTCTCGTGACTCTGCAAACCGATACGACTGGTTCCCCGCGCGTTCCTCCAGTGAGCAGAGTTCATCGGGAGAGGGGCGAGGCGTGCCGTGGTTGTGAAAGCAGCATACCTGCGTTGTGCCTGCGGGGCCACCTTGCCGCCACCGCCAGGCTTTCCTGCTGATGCAACCCCTTTTTTGTTGCCTCGAAACTCGTAACCGCCTCGGGGATGGCGGCCCTCAACGGAGAGTGGTCCAATTCGATAATGCGGGGGCCCGCACATTCGGCCCGTTGAGCTGAGAGCACACGGCAGAAGATGTCAGAAGTTTTTCCCCCGAGGTGGAGCCCATATACTGGATATCTTGTGAAAAAGAGCCTTATATAGCTCGTCGGATTCCTCCAGTATAAATCAAAATTCAAATTCTGAAGCGATGCAGCTCTTGTTCGAGGGCAACTCGGCCAGCAGACCGCAGCGGTGGAGCCGTGGTGCATGCGGGTGTGGTGGTCGCATGACGTGCGCACGCACGAGGGGCGTATGGATGGGAGTCCCCGCCTTCCTGCCAGCTGTTTGCAAGTAGCAGCAGCAGCAGTGGCAGCAGCACACCTTTGCGTGCTGTTAAATCCACTCCATTTCCAGCTCACCCCCGTCCTGATGGGGTTTTTCATCGTTTACACGCAGCATGGGAATTGAATGGCTCCGTGACCTTCATCGCATTTCAAACGTACTTTCCAAACCCCGTGTGACATTTGAACCTTTATGGCGGGGCCCCGGGGTCCCGAATAAACGGAAGTCAAAATCGCAATTAATGAATTAGTTTTTGGCGACTCCGTCACAAACGCCTCGACACACCTGGCGCGGATCATTCTGTTGTGCTATCGTCTAAGCGCAGCGAGGACGAATGCGCAGAAACAAAATTCTGAAACTTTGATTCGCGCATCGTGTAGAGCTCGTCGAGAGTAATAGATTGCCTTGTCGTTCGCCTTCAACAGACATAAAATGACGTCGCAACGCAGTTTATGCGAGAGCGGGGGGGGGCTTATGGGACCCCGGGGTCACACCATGAGGTTAATTTGTTAAGGTGGCTCCACACCCCAGCGATCGAATTGCTCTCAATCATTGCGCAACTCATCGCCTGCAGACACCTAACAACTATCGATATAAATCGGCTCAGTCCTCCTGTAAATCACTTGACTTCTGTGTTGGTACCCCCCCCTCCCTCTAAGATGTCTTGCAGACTGGAAACAGTCGGTCAAAATCCCTATATATAGGCTGAGTTGTTGTAGAGGAGGCCTTGTCCGCCAGCTGCGGCATGAGCAGGCGATTGCAGGGCTGTGCCTTTACCCCGTTGCTGTAATCCCCGCAGTGTTCAACTCGCTGGACATGTCGAAGGCCGTGTCAATGACCCAGTCTGGGCAGTGCCGTCTGGCGCCGCTCATCCAGGCCATCCAAGACTGCAGCCACCTCTACGACTACATCGTCAAGCTGCTCTTCCGCCTACACTCCTGTGAGCGCTCGCCAACGCACACGCACCACCCCCCCACCCAGCACCCCCCCCACCCAGCACCCCCCCCACCCAGCACCCCCCCCCCACCCAGCACCCCCCCCCACCCAGCACCCCCCCACCCAGCACCCCCCCCACCCAGCACCCCCTACCCAGCACCCCCCACCCAGCCCCCCCCACCCAGCGTCCCCCCACCCAGCGTCCCCCCACCCAGCGTCCCCCCCCCCCCCCCCACCCAGCACCCCCCCCCCCCCCCCCCCCCCCCCACCCAGCACCCCCCCCCCCCCCCCCACCCAGCACCCCCCCACCCAGCACCCCCCCACCCCCCACCCAACATCTACCACCCAGTATCCATCTCCCATCATCCGCCACCCAGCAAACCAACATCCATCACCCAACAGCCGGTGCTCGCTTCCGAGCGTACGCCTACCATTATCCGCCTCCCAACATCCGCCATCCAACACCCAGTGCTCGGCTCTCACAACAGCTTCTTAACACGATCTTACGGCACACTGAAACGTGCCCGTTTCTTGGGCTGAGCGAGGTTTTTTTGGATTTTGGGAAAAGGTGCACAATGGGAAGAAGTTCGATAGCCATTGCATTCGATTTGTTTATACGCTTGCGTTTTCTGACTTGTGCGTATTTACTTCCTTACTTGCACCTGCTTGCTCGCACCTGCCTTGCCCATGTTGCTGATGTGCGATTGTGTGTCATTTTTTTTTTGCCCCAAGGTCTCCCAGCGGACACCCTGGACGGACACAGGCAACGTTTCCAAGACCAATTCAAGAGGTCAGCTCCCCCTGCCTCTGCTGATGAGCCTCGGAATAGTTGAAGCCGGTCTAGAGTTTTCCCCGCTTAAACAAATGTCGCAAAGTTGTCCATTCCCTGCCGCGGCTAACGTTGGTGGTGAGTGAGATCTGAACTCGTACTGCACCCGTACCCCTCCCCCCGCCTACACAAAGCTGCACTAACCAGCATGGTAAAGTATGGTCAAACAATCATCATGACCGACGCTGTGTGGGGAATGGATAGAGAAAGGGCAGTAAAATATATCTGGTGCTGTGTGTAAACATCAGCACTGGGAGACAAAGGTGGCCGGGCATCGAGCTGGCCACCCACCACTCGTGTGCCGTGCCGGCCCTAATAGATACTCGATAACAGCACTTGCCCCAACATTCTATTAAAGGGTATATAGGGGATCTTTGGCTCATATTTGTATAAATATAATTCCATGCCTGGCCACGGATTATCTAGATGCCTTGTGACCGGCACAAATACTCTGCTGCCTAATACCTAGACCGTGTGATTGGATTAATGTAATTTAATAAAATATATAAATACATTGTTCTGGTGGCAACATCTGACAGTGGGGGAAGCAGATCCCCCCCCCAAATGTGCTAACGAGTGCACGGGGAGAGATGGAACGAGGGGGGCTCGCGGTGCCATCATGTGCTGCACACGTGCGGCCAGTTTTGTCGATCTGCTGCTGGATGAGTTCCTCCCCACTAACCGCAAGCCATTGGGGACCTGTTTGGCCGCACTTCTCCGATGGCGGGCTAGTGAGGGGTTGGTGAAGGAAACTTGGAGATGTTTGACTGGATTTCGCTCGCCACTGATGTTAGCCATTGCTGCCAATCCAACTGTTCGCCGATTTCAACGTGCAGGCGCGCTAAACACTGCACAACTGCTCCACCAATAATAATAATGCATCATAATCCAGGAAACCCTTCACAGTGGGTGGCGAGGAGAGGGGAGGGATTCGGAGTGGGAATGGTGGTCACACAAAAGTCGTGTCATTCACGGGACGGAGGGGGTGCACGGGGGGCTTGAGGTGGTTTAGGTAGAGGAGGGTTGTGTTGTTGTTGCTTATTGTTCTGTATGCGTTGTGCATCGTGACTTGCCTTGATGTTGCTCTTTGCAGGCTCAAGGACTTCTTCCACCGCTGCAGCAACCTGCAGTACTTCAAGCGCCTCATCCAGATCCCGCGGCTGCCCGACGTGAGTACCCGCGTCCGTGTTTTTCTGCTCCGCGTTCGCTGTCCGCGTCCGTCCAAACAGCTCTCGTGAAGACGATCTGCTGTGCACGACGCTTGAGTATGAAGTCGTGTTGCTCTTGGGGGGGGGGGACCCCCAGCCGCTTTGAAAAACTCGTTAAAAAAAGGTCTGCCAAAACCAGAGCAAAAATCACTTTAGAAATGCGTGGATGCGTTTTGCCCTGACCAGCTTGGCTGCCAGCTTCCGAGCTGCTAATTTAACTCCTCCTGAAGGCAATCGTGCGTTGAAAAAGTTCGGTAAGCTGCGTGCGTGCGTGGCTTTTCTTCTTGGCCCGTGTACCTCGCCGCGAACCGAATGCCCAGCGGCACAGCCGAGGGTCTGACGCGCGTGAAACTATCGCCCCACCGTGCGTGCGTTGCCCAGAATCCTCCCGACTTCCTGCGTGCCTCAGCCCTCTTCGAGCACGTCAAGCCAGTCGTGGTGATCCCGGGGGACAGCGTCGAGCCTGACGACTTGGTGGAACCGGAGGTGGTGGAGCCGGTCCACAGCCCTTTGGTATAACAAAACAATACAAAACACAAGGTGCTTTCTCTGGTCTGCTTCCTTGTCTTGTTCCGCACTCCCAATGTCCCACACTCTCCTACAGTTCCTATGTCGGCATTTACAGTATGCCACACTTCCTCGTGTATCATTCTATCCCCTTCATTCCCTGCGTCCCTACTGCCTGTGCCCCCGCACTCTCATGTTCCCTGCTCTCCTGCACTTCCCGTGTCCCGCATACTTTCCCGCACTCATTTCTCCCCCGCCCCCCCCCCCTCACCACACTCCCCACGTCTCTGACTGCACTTCTCTCTGCCAGCGCTCGATGGCGTTCAGATGACATTCAGGAGACTCCACTGATCCCACGCTCGTCTCCTGACAGGTGGCAGCGGAGCCCAAAGTGGAAAATATCCTCGACTTCAGCAATGGCAGCAGCGCTCCTGACGAGAGGTGCGTTCACAAGAGCCATCCCGTGGCCTGGAGGGGATCGCAGGCTGGTGGTGCCGGGGGCGGGGGGCGGGGTGTATTGGGAGTGAGGGTGATGGATCTCGCCGGGATCGTAGTGTGTGTGTGTGTGTTTCGGCGCTCACTTGCTCGCACTACACCGTGTGTTTACGTTGATTCCACCGTGTCGCCCGCTTAGGGACCAGCTCATTGAACGTCTGCAGCGGGAGATCGAGAGGCTCAAGGGGGAACTGGAGTTCCTCAAGGCCGAGGTGCGCGCCCTGACAACCTAGACGCACACAGTAGCTGTGCTTCCTCTGCTATCCTCGTGCTCCCCATATGCTGCGCTTGTGCTGCCCCTGTACCTTGAGTGTGCTGCCCCTGTGCTTCCTTGTGCTGCCCCAGTGCTGCCCCCGTTGCCGATGTGCATCTCCCGCGCTACCCTTATGCTGCCGGTGCGCTGGCCGTGTGCGTTTGCGCAGAGCCGCCGCCTGATCGTGCAGCTGCGGGAGCGCGTGGTGCAGCTGGAGCGCGAGTTGGCGGAGGAGCGCGGTCTGCGCGTGCGGGCGCAGACCGAGGGCCAGCGTGTGCAGGCCGAGCTGTGCGAGGCCCAGCGCGACAGGGAGGAGACGGAGTTGGCCCAGAGTGCGCTCACCGAGGTGGAGAGTGAGTCCCCGCGCTGTCCCGTGCCATCCCACGCCACACCCACGGTGGCATCGTCACCGTCGTTCGTAATAGATTTTCGGGTTAGGCACGGTTTTTTGTTTGTTTGTTGGCAAACTTTTTTTTCGTGTTCACGTGCGCAAGCGTTCGTTGTTTCCGCTCAACGATAAGTTGAACAATTCTCACGAACAAATGTATCAATCTTCTTTGGTTCTTTCGGTAAAGTCACGTAGAATGAGAATAAAATAATAAATTGATAAAATAAAATAACACAATAATATTCTCACGACGTTTCGGCCAGTCCTACCAGACAGTCTCGCCCCCTTCACCTGATGAAGGCCGCTTGTGTTGTGGCCGAAACGTTGTGAGAATATTATTGTGTTATTGTATTTTATCAATTTATTATTTTATTCTCATTCTACGTGACTTTACCGAAAGAACCAAAGAAGATGAATCATTGCAGTCACGAAAGCTTTAAATCGAAATTTAAATGTATCAATCGCCTAAGATATTTTTCTTGATCCTTCTTTAAGCATCTTCAGGTCAGAAATCAGGAAGTCGATATCACCATGTCACCTGATGTTTTAAACTATCGTCACCATTCTCGGCGACCCCCAGATCTCATGGAGGGACCCTCTTATTATTATTCAATTGTATCACCATTATCATCACCACCATTAGTTTCTAAACCACTGGGATCCTGGCTACCAGTGTCGCTTGTTGCTGTTGCGGTGGTGCCGTGGCTGGGGTGCGGTGGGAGTAGCGGCGATTGTGTTGTGGTGGTGCCGTTGCAGAGAAGGCGCAAGCGAGCGAGCAGCGCTTTGTGAAGATGAAGGAGAAGCACACGGATCTGGTGAAGACGCACGCGGAGCTGCTGAGGAAGGTGCGGGCGGGCGGGCGAGCAAACCCAGTGGGGGTTGTGGGGGAGGGGAGTGAGAAAAGACTGATAAATAATAATTGTTTGGGACTGTGGCGCGGCCCGGTGGGGTTCGCCATTGGCCGCTTGTTGCAGAGGTCTGCGGTTAAATTCTGGCAGGCCACCCCGATTTAAATCTGCGGGCGTGATAATGTCGTCTAATGTGGATTGTGAAGCCAAGGTCCTGTGATGAATAGGCCATTTATATATGCCAACGTCACGGTAAAAATTTTCCATAATTAGAAAGATGATTTGCAAATTACTCTCGCTTGCGATCGCACAGAGCAGTCGCAATGGTCGCCCCCTTCTGATAACAGATTGACGCCCGCTGGCAGGCCAGGTGCCGAGTTGTTGTGCCACAGAGGGACAGCTGCCACTTGTGGTGGGGAGGAGATTGACCTTGGCACGCATTGACACACGGCGCTTCGTCGCCCGAGGCATTCAAGCAAGTGCATTATTTCATCTTTTACTCTTAAATTCCTGCTCTCGTTGCAGAACGCTGACGTGGCGCGACAGCTGACGACGCTGCTGCAGGCCAAGGAGGAGGCCGAGACGGCGCGGGCTGGCATCGAGAAGATTATCCAGCAGACCGAGCAAGAAACGGATACTAAGGTGATTTAGGGGAAATAGGAACTGGTTTTTCTAGTCACTGGGCGGAGGGGGAGAGACCCGCTGGCAGTGTGGTATTTGTACGTATAATCTATTTATTTACTTGATCGCTTAATAACAATGCCTTTAAAAATATGCCCCCTTGATTGAGTGCTTGAGGGTGCGGCAGTACAGTGTGATTTAAAGCGCAGTCGTTTTGGAATGTCGGTGTGATGTATATGATTTTTTTAACATTGACGTGACGGTGCTGTTTGTGGTTACTCCCGATGCTGTCGCTCGGGCGCGAGAGGCGACGTGGAACGATCCTCGCCAAAACGCACCCGAAATCAAAACGCACACGCACCCACCGCCTGTGACTGTCGCAGCCCGGGGTGCACTCCACACGAACCGGCGGCAGTGTGCGCCACTCATTTGTTTAAACGGGCGGCAGGCTGGCAATGCAGTGGTAACGCTCGATCCCCGACTTGGACACCTTTTTCTGTGTGGAGTCTGTATGTTCTGCCTCTGTTCCGTATGGGTTTCCTTATGGATTCTCCGGTTTCCTCCCGTAGCTAAAACAACCGTACATTCATTGTAACTGATATCGGACAAATCATCCCAATGCTATTAAATATTTAATTGGGATCACGTAGAGTAGCAACACCGTCCCCCGACTGGTGAACACCACACGACGGCCCCCTCCTGCCCACGCTGTGGCACGGTTTGCACTTGTGCCTCACAGCCAGAACCGCCTGGGCTGGATTTCCTACACGTGCGCACACACACACACACACGCAGACGTGTGTGTTTCTGCGTGTTGGTCATGCCATGCCATGCCAAACACTGTTTACAGATAAATATTTACAGAGAAAGTAGATCGTACTTATTCTGAGAAGGTGCTGGCAAACAGAATGGTGTCATGTTCTCAGTGCCCATCTTCAGCACCTTCGTCCATACCGATAATTATTTCTGTCATTCTTCAAAAAAATTGTGCTTTTAAGACAAAGCTCTCTGATACAGAGAGAGGCACTCATTCCTCGCTGAATATTTTGTGGGGTCGCCGGTCAGCCACAGCCCATAGTAATACTGGATGTGGTGTGCCAGGTGCGGAGATATGTTTTGTGTCATCGACCGAGAGTGAAACCAGCTGATATTATTCAACCCTGCCTGTGTATATCTTTTAGTAGGCTGATTTAAAATAAAAAAATTGGGTCTGCGCCATTGGCTGTGAGAAAGCTACGTTTTAACTTCAAGGGGCCGTTGGGGCAAGTGCCATTTAGCGAGCACCTTTTTAATAGATACTCAGCGCGCGCGCGCACACTCATGTGTACATACGTCGTCTGTGAAAACACGAACACGCATTCACGGTGCCCCTCCCCTGCTCGTTCATCCGCTGCCCCCCCACCCTCCCATCCTCAATGCGCTCCAACAGCTGCAGGAGCAGAGGCGCGTGGTGGAGAGGCTTGAGAAGGAGCTGGAGAGCAGCCGCCAGGACCTGACCTCGCTCCGGTTCACGCTGGAGAGCACCGAGAAGGTGCTCCAGTTAGCCCCTCTCAACGCCTGTGTGTCGCGAGCACGCACCCCCCGCCCTCGACCGCCCCTCCCGCCATCCCCCCCACCCTCAATCCCCATCCCATTTTCCACTCTCGAGCCCCCCCCTCCCGTCCACCCGGCTCCGCACTCGACTCTCGTCCCACCAACATTCTCTACCCCCCCCCCCCCGTCCCATCCTGACCATCGCGATGGGGATTATTACCACACGGGGGAGCAATCACCGCCCCCTAATGGCACACTAGTGCCCCAGGCCGCTCTGACCTGGTTAAACAAAATAAACTAGACATGTCCTTATCGTCACCGTCTCCGCCGTGTTTGTGCGTGCGTGCGTGCGTATGTGCATGCGTGTCTGTCTGTGCGTATGTACCACAGTCGGGCACGGAGCTGTCGAGCCGGCTGCAGTCTCTGCAGGACGAGAAGCGCCGGATCCATGAGGAGCTGGAACAGCGCAGCCAGGAGGTGACGGCGCTGGGATCGCAGCTGAGCGAGCGTGAGCGCGCTCTCGACGACAACAAGCAGCAGAAGCAGGCCGAGGTGCAGCAGCTGCAGCAGCGGCTGTCTGACAAGGTTTGTGTTCCGGCCGGCGCTTGGGGTGGTACGGCCGGCTCGCGCTCGTGCAAGGCGGGTCTCGGTCATCCCGGCCAAGTGTGTGCGAGGGTTGGCCCCCCCCCCCCCCACCCCCCCCCCCCTCCAATTCGGAATGAAATACAAACACGGTGGTGTGATCCACAACGCGTGCAGATCCTCGGCCAATTTCTCCATAGACAACCGCGGTTGACTTCCCTGCAAAGTGATGCGAATCTTTTTGAGCCTGGAGAGATGATGGCCTCGGCTAACTGCCCCCCCCACCCCTCCCCCACTTAACTCGCAACCTTCCAATCGCAAGCCGTTTTTTTCTCTCTCGCTGAGCCTCATCCCAATGCTGAGGCATTTCCTGCCAGTTACTCGATTGAGATTCGCACACAGCAGCGACAATGACAAGAAAGAGCTTCTTAGCTCAATGGGCCTTGCCTCCAAATAAACTCTGACTGGCTCAACATCGCCCCCTCCTGCGAAAGCTTGGCACGACCCTCCTGAAAACGAGTCGAGGCTGTTTTCCCCCCGCACCTCCCGATTTCGCACGGTTGGCGACGTACGGTGCGAAAGAAGTTCAACACACAAACAACACATAATAACAGCCTCGATCGCCGTTTGCGATTCGTCTTCCTCCCGACGACGATCGCGGTGATGATGAAGGCGGCGACGGCATTGGCGGCGGTGATGATGATGATGGTGATGAGGCCGACCTCCCGGCTCCGCTTGCCCCTCTGCGCAGGAGGCACAGGAGAAGTCCCTGAGGCAGCGTCTCCTGGAGGAGCAGTTCCTGCTGCTGCGGGGCGCCGTGGAGGAGGGCGAGCGCATCGTGCGCGACGCCATCGACAAGCTGGACGACCCGCTGCACGTCGGATGCAAGAGCTCCCCGGGTGAGCGTGTGGCGGAGCAAATAGGGGTGGGGGGGGAGGAGGGTCTTTCGCCACGGTGGCAAGATGTTAACTACCTCGCCTGGTACACAGGAGGTCGTGGGTTCCATCCCGACCCTGACGCCTGTTGTATATTTGGAGTTTGCGTGTCTCTCTCTCTCCTCGTGGTCGCTTGGATTCTTCTTTGGGTCCTCCGTATTTTTTTCCCTCCACAGTATAAGAATAGAAATGTGCGTTTTGGAGTATCGGGCTGTTATAAATTTCCACCTGATAAGCCACTTGTTTGAGCTATCATCATTCGTTGTCAGGTCGCTTCTGAAAAAGAGCTACACAGTAGCTCGGTGGGCCTTACCTGGGAAAATAAAACCTAGTTTAGTTTGGAGTTTAGTCCTCGGAGCATCGCTGGGGAGGCCGTGCAAGCGAGGCCAGTCGGACGTGCAAGCGATGTCCCTCCCTCACCCGTCACGGCGATTCTGTTGAATCGCATCAATTAGGATTCACAGTGAGAAGATTCTTACAGTGGATTAGGGATGAGCTTCAGATTTGAACTAAATAATTAGCAAGTTTAAGGACAAGTTGGGTATTCTTTTTTTGATTTTCAGATCATTTCTATCGTGTGCTCATATGAAATGTGCCAATAATAATCATGAAGTCGCCCAATGCCACGTGGACCCAACTTTTAGCAGGAAATATCCGCTTTTTGGGGTCAGTCGGACACAAACTAAAACTTTGACCTTCTAGGCCTTGAATATGTTTTTTACGGAATGATGCAAAAATGGGAAGCGTGCCCTACAATGTTTCTGCTTTACTAGTTTATTTATAATATACTGCATATCGTGTAACATCGTGGGGCTGTGCCACCTGGCGGTCAGCAGGGGGCATTTTTGTTCTTTGCGAACGATGCTGCCCGCTGACAAACCTGACCAATGCGGCCCAAGTACGTTTAAATAACTCCCCACGACCCGAACGGCGTTCGGAGGCACTCATTCAGCAGTGGATCGACACGTGCCGCTTGCTGTGACTGCAATGTGCCGCTGCTGTCTGTGCCATGCAGACTATCTCATCACGAGGGCGCAAGCGTCGCTGGAGTCTGTGGCTCGCACCAAAGCGGGTCATGCCCAGTACGTGAAGGATGAGTCTGGTAAGGGAGCGTTCAATCATCGGCATCGGACATGACGAGTGCACGCACGAGACACCAAGGGGACCTTATCGTTGTGAACTCTAGGACCCGATTCTCTGATCCCGTCACTGGCCTGCAATCCAGTCCATGATTGACTACAAGATCGCTACTACTCTCCCCCTACCAAGGTCCTCCATTGTGTGAAAGGCGACATGGGTGGAGGGGATCTTGTTTCAGTTTTGTAAACGGTGGGAGGGTGGAGCTGGGATTAATTTGCAGTTGTTTTGTGTTTGTTTATCAGCAATTCTGACATTCTCGTTACTTCTCTGCACACCCTCTCGTGTCTCCTCCCCTTTAACGCCTCCCCCACCAACCCCGCAAATCAGATGCGAGTGGATTGCTCCGAGCGGTTTCTGGGCTCTCCCACCTGGTCAGCGACACGATCGTACAGGGCAGCGCCACCTCGCACCTGGTGCCGGGGGACCAGGCCGACCGTGAGTGTCGCGCCACCACCACCACCCCGCTAGGTTGTCGCCGTTGTGCCGTACGGCTCTCCGCTGTATTTTTGAGCCTTGGCGCTTATTGCGGGTGGGCGGGCGGGTGGTCATAAATCATTCCGGCTGGCGCCAGCGCCATAATACTTGGTGGGTTGGGTGGACTCCGCCGATTGGTTCGTGACGGGGCTACCACAGATGATTACGCCGACTCGGCTCTTTGGCGGTGGCTTATTTAATAATCGCGTATGGGTAATAATGTCTTGCCGCTTAATTTTATCCCTATTTTGCTTTCGGTGTCGTGCGTCGAGACGGGGCGTCCAATCGGATCTCTCGCGGAGCGACGCGGCAACAACGACCCCTTTTGTTCGAGGAACGGCCCATGGAAACTGGATATCGTAGAGCTACCTCCGAGACCAATTCAAGTGACCTCTGTTCCTCGCAGCGAACAAATTTGGTGACTCTTTGTACGCGTTGCCCCCTCCCACCTCCCTCGCACCCCCATGTGCGGGCGCTTTGCCGCCCGCGTCCCCAGGCCTGACGGAGGCGTGCCAGCAGTGTGGCGACGGCGCCCTAGCCTTCCTGGACAAGCTGAAGGAGCGCTCGACGCTGCCCGGCGCCAACCCCGAAGCTCTGCGCGCCACCCTGGAGCGCCTCGTCCGCATTGGGGAGGTGTGCCAACAGGAGTCCACGGAGCCTTTAGGATCCTTTCCCACCCCCCCCCCCCCCCCCCGTATAGCCCCAAACGCACTGATGGGGTCAAGTGCTGTTGGCGAGCACCTATTAAAGCCGCCACGGCACGCGAGGGTGCCCAGCACCGCGCCTTTGGGCACTTAATGTTTACACACTGCACCAGTCGACCTAAGGGAGGCTCAGTACCATATACACGAAGACAAAAGTCCCCCATATAGGCTTCAACAGACTCTTGGGGCAAGTGCTATTAGCGAGCACCTGCGAAGGGGTGGGTGGCCAACACCACGCCCGGCCGCCATCGTCTCTCCCAGGGCTGATGTGTTACACAGTGCACCAGGTACTCATTTGAGGCCGAGTCGACCTAGGGGAAGCCCAGGATGGTTGAAATATCCGCGGCTGTTATTGGTCGTGAGCTGGCGTGTGCGGGCTCAGCGACCCGGGGAATATTTCTGCACCGGGCACCACATCTAGTGGATCTCTCTCCACAACTGCGGCAACTGGTAGTCACATGCTGGCCGATTTGTTATCGTTGCGCGACTATGTTCTGAACGCACCTGCCCATCCCCCACCCGCCCGTTGGTTTTGGTTCACTTAGGACCTGCGTCCCAAGGGCATGGACGTGCGTCAGGAGGAGCTGGGGGACCTGGTGGAGCAGGAGATGGCGTCCACATCCGCTGCCGTGGAAGCGGCAGCGGCTCGCATTGAGGTGAGTGGGGGTCAAGCGCCTCCGCCCTCCCCCGTCGCTATCGTATCGATACCCGCGACCCTGCGACCCTGTGACACCCCGACTGAGAGCAATCGGGACCGGCAGTGGATGTTGTTCGTGGTTGTGATGCGCAGCTCTTCCATATGTGTTCAAGTCGTACAGCGGCCCGTGCTGTTTTGGCGTGGTGTCCGACGTTTCATTGCATCTGCTGGGAGTGAAACGTGAGACACGGTGCCAAATTACACGCTCTGCGATATGACAAGAACAGACATTGTGAGTGCAGTACAGTGGTACCTCGGTATACGTCGTTAATTCGTTCCAGAAGGTAGGAGGACTTATACCGAAAATGGCATATATACCAAACGAATTTTTCCCATACGAAATAAACGGAAAGGAAATAATCCGTTCCAGAGTATAAGAAATTATATTTTATATGGCATAGTATACATTAATGGGGTTGTATAATATAATGTAGACGCTCCTTATTACTAAAATGCATACATACATTAAAATACATGCATAAATAAAATAAAATGAAATAAAAATAAAATTTTACATCACTTTACCTTGCTGAGAGGAGTTAAAATGACAAGCACGTGAAAATTCACAGTTACAGCAAGGGTTGTGCGCTGAACGAGATCCACAGGCAGACTGTTTCAGTCGTGAACGGGGTATACTGTACGCGGGTACGCGGTGACTCATCCCGACCCGTACAAGTTTTAGCAAGCGCGTCGTATCCCAAGCAAGACGTCGTATCCCAAGACATTTAGTTCTCGTCAAAACACGACGTATACCAAATTCGACGTATTCCAAAACCGGTCGTATACCCGAGGTATGACTGTAGTTTGTTTACCGGGCTAGGCGATTGGTGGAATATAACGCGGGGATCACACAAAAACAACAAGATCTCTTTTGTTATTTAGACATCTCCAGGGCTTAATTTTAGCCGGGTCCACCCGTGTTGGCGATCCTGAAGAAAACGGCACACCACATCCAGTATACCTCGTGCTATGACCTTGTATTCTAAGTCACATGCCTCCTACTCTGGTCAAGCGGCCACACCGAGGAAAATATTCCATGAGAAATTCGGCACGGCCGGCCCAGGGTCACATGAGGCCCCTCGTCTGGGCTGGTTGCACCGATCCTCGTCGCGATTCTGACAATGAGGATGATGATCGTGAGATCATAAAGTCCTGGACTTGATGATCGTGAGATCATAAAGTCCTGGACTTGATGATCTCACGTTACGGGCGCGATGGCCCGGAAGGGCACACCGCGTGCGCCGTGACAGCTGTGTTGACGCATTCTGCAGGACATGCTGAACAAGTCGCGGGCGGCCGACACAGGCATCAAGCTGGAGGTGAACGAGCGGTGAGCAGCGCAGAGCGCCAGCGCGGCGGTCCATGTGTGCGCGAGCGGTCCGTGTGTGTGTTCTGAATTCACGGTTACCGTGCCAAAATTTTAGCTCTGAGAATTAAGAATATTTTTTTGACTGCCACACAAGAAACATCTCTCTGGAGTAAGGCACATAGTGGAAAAGTGCGATCCCCTAGTGTGCTGATATGAGAGCTCACTTGAACGGGTCTCGGAAGTAGTTCTGTGATGTCTCCTTCCACTTGCCCGTTCTGTAGTTCAGGGAGATGCCGAGCCGCTCTGAGAGTTCAGAGAGTGGTGTTCTACACTGGGAACAGTCGGGAGATAACGTTGGGGGAAAGAGGGGCACGTTTTAAAATAGTTTTCCGATTTATTAACTTTTTTATGAACATTGCAGGATTCTCGCGTCTTGCACGGATCTGATGCAAGTGAGTATAGTTACGAGAAACGTGCAGCTAGTGCTTCATTTGTAACTTTTATCCGTTTTACACATCTTTAGTTTTGCCGCCTTTGTGCCATTGTTAATTTAATAAAATTCAGTTTGAATTCAAACGACGGTGGCGACGACACGGTGTTAATCACAGCGACGTCCGCCGCCGCCGCCCCCCCCCCCCCCTCTTCTCAGGCAATCAAAATTCTCATCGTCGCATCGTCGGAGCTCCAGAGAGAAATCGTGGAGAGCGGACGGGTGAGCGGGCCTCCATCTCTCCTCCTCTCGCCGTGTACTCCCGTGCGCTGCACAAACCCCCAATGCCGCCGTGTCCAATCATAAATGCGAAGTAAGCCGCCACCGCCGCCAGCCAATCGCGGCGTGAACGTGTGGACCACGGAAGGGGGCAGCTCCAAGGTCACAGGCACTGAGCCCGCGCCGCTCGTTGTCTGGGTTCGGAATCTGGGTTTCGGCCAACGTTGAAATGCGATTTAAATGGGGTGCCCAAACGTCGTGAGTTTGGTGGGTGTCTCGACCCCGGTCACCAAACGACTGCACCGTACAAAACCGTCGCAGTTAAATTTGGCTCTGCACTTTGGATAAATTCTAGCTCCTGAGAATTACAACGAAAAAAAAACGTCACTTTGACCGAATGTGATGAGCATCACTCTCGGTGGCAATGCGGGTGGGAAAGTGCTGCCCCCTAATGGGTGGACTGGAGGCCACTTGAAGGATTCTCCTGAGGTAACTTGGCGGTATCCGCTTCCGCGGGCCGTTCTGCGAACACGGAGGGTCGTACAGCCGTGCGGGATTTCCGAGCGAATTCTTCAACGCGTGGCGACGCGACGCGGACGGCACAGTCGGAATAACAGTGACAGAAAATATCTCCATCTGCTCCTGTGTAAAGTTAAGCATGGATGTGCGACGATTTAACGGAGCGCTGTTTGCTCCGAGAGGCTTCCGAGCGTGACCGCTGCGGGCGTCCGTGCATCTGTGCGTGCGTGTACAGGGTGCCGCCTCGCCGAAGGAGTTCTACGCCAAAAACTCTCGCTGGACCGAGGGCCTCATCTCTGCCTCGAAGGCCGTGGGCTGGGGCGCCACCATGCTGGTGTACGTACCTCCCCCGTCCGTCGTCGCCGCAGTGCCGGTGTCGACTAGTTACTTTACTACTGTCTCGTTTGTGTTGTTTCACGTTCCTCTGGTTAAAGCCTCCCGCCGGCGGTCGTGAGTGTAAAGGCATTTGCCTCGGCAGCCTGTGTGCCCTATATAGGGGACCTTTGCACGTGTGTGTGTCCATGTCTGCACATACGCATATGTGCCTGTGCATACGTCTCTGAACTAGTATGCGTGCAGGCGCGCGCGCACGTCTGTTGCCACTACTCTGACCGCAAGTCTGTGCACGACAGCGCTAACTGCTGTGCAGTGACTCCCGCTCATCCCTCCTCGTCTTCCCCCCCACTCCCCGCGCCCCCATGGTTTCATCGGTGCTCGCGAGCAGCGAAGCGGCCGACAAGGTGGTGCAGGGCGACGGCAAATTCGAGGAGCTCGTGGTCTGCTCGCACGAGATCGCCGCCAGCACCGCACAGCTCGTCGCTGCCTCCAAGGTTCCCCTCGCCTGCGCCGCTTGCCTCGCTTCCTCCGCTTGCCTCGCTTCCTCCGCTTGCCTCGCTTCCTCCGCACACCTGCGCCCATTCTCACTCCACATTCTCACTCCACATTCTCACTCCACGCCCTCGCGCCCACCTGCAACGACGATGCCCACGGTTTGCCGTCGGCCGTGCCATGGCGGCGCGTTAACGTGGTCGCCTGTGCCGCGTCCCCCTCCTCCCGCAGGTGAAGGCCGAGAGGAACAGCGGCAAGCTGGCACGCCTGCAGCACGCGTCGCGCGGGGTCAACGAGGCCACGGCCCGCGTCGTCGCCTCCACCAAGACCGGGATGTCGCAGATCGAGGAGTCCGGTGAGAAGTGCGGCGTGGCGTGACGTGGCGTGACGTGGCGTGATACAGGTCGCAGCATATCGCGGTGGTGCGACGCCGCTTAATGATCGCCCGTTTGTGCGATACTTCTGCAGGAGCTATGAACTTTAAGGATATGACCATGACCCTGACGCAAGCAAAGCTTCGAGAAATGAACTGCCAGGTACTGCTGTGTGATTGTGTGATTGTGTGTGTGTGCGCGAGAGATGTTTGTTCAAGACCAGGTGTGTACGTAGAGGGGGGACTGTACGTGTGTCTGTGTTCCACCCATGTGCGTCCATGTTTGCACAAATCGTGTGCTTCACGTAGGGGGGTCGGGGGGTCGGGGGGGTGTACGTGCGTGCGTGCACCCACCCGTGTGTGGGAGCGTCCGTATGCGTCACGAGGCTCTCTCTCTCTCTCTCCGTGTGCAGGTCAAGGTGCTGGAGCTGGAGAATCTGCTGGAAAAGGAGCGCATGCGGCTGGGCGAGCTCCGGAAGAAGCACTACGAGCTGGCCGGCACCTTGGCGCAGGGAGGAGACGGTAATTGGACACGCACCAGACAAAGGTCCCCCGCGTAGCCCTCGCAGGCCGTCGGGCGCGAGCGCCGTTGGCGAGCGCGCGTGAGGAGGGCCGGGGCAGTGCACGCGGCCGGCGAAGCACCCGGCCGTCTTCGTCCCCCCGGCGTTGATGTTTACTTACCGCACCGGCTTCTCGGGATTGAAGTCCCGAGTCAACCTAAGGGAAGGCCCAGGACCGTGATCTTGGAGCAGACCCACGTCCTATGTATTTAACGGTTCGTGCCCACCGCTGTGGTAACCAGGGCGGCCTGCCGGATTCGAACCGCGAACCTCTGTGACGTCTCCGCTGCCCGCGCGATGACCTCCTGAACCTTCCCTTCCTCCGTTTCTCACAGGGAACTGAGGCCCGCGTCGGCGGTGAGAGTGGAGGAGGTGAAGTTGGCGGGTCCGCATTGCCTCCCTGGGATATTCGTCCCCTCCACCCCGCACGGGGGGCAACCGTGCGAGTGCTTTTGCAATAGCGAGACGGAGCTCAACGGATGTTTTACTGGGACTCGAGAATGTTTCTTGTTGTGTTTTATGAGGCGGTGGGTGGGGGTGTGGACGCTGACAGCTTTTGCTTCCCCTTTCCTGCGCTCTCGCGTCCCGGGGGCCCCCCACCCCGTACGGACCGTCATTTACTCCTTAAACCACGACCCCCCCCCCCCCCCCGGGTTCGTCGATGTGCAATGAGGGTGCGGAGAATCGAAACGCGCCTGGCACCTCATGGTTGGTGAGCGTGGCCACCACACCTGTGGTGCCGGCAGCAAGGCCGGGCTGCTGTGTTCGATGTGCGCTCGGACTGACAGCTTGGGGATGGAGGAGGGAGGGAAGGAGCGTAGGTGGGGGGGGGGGGACGTTGAGGGTGGGGGGGAGGGTGGGCAGGGGGGTAATTGTCTCCGTGCATTTGCCCTGTAAATCATAAGTGAGTTTTTACTGTGTAATTAAGGTGAGCATTGTTGTTATATTTTAACTTTAACTGCTGCAGTTTACTGACGGTTCCACCTTTTAAAAGATGCACGCATGAGTTGAGTGCCTGTGTGTGTGTGTGTGTGCGCATACATTCCTGTGTGGATCCTGAGTAAGTGTACATGCGCGTGTTTGTGCGTTACAAGGCACTGGGGCGTGCGTGTGAGGCACTGGGGCGCGCGTGTGAGGCACTGGGGCGCGCGTGTGAGGCACTGGGGCGCGCGTGTGAGGCACTGGGGCGCGCGTGTGTGGCACTGGGGCGCGCGTGTGTGGCACTGGGGCGCGCGTGTGTGGCACTGGGGCGCGCGTGTGTGGCACTGGGGCGCGCGTGTGTGGCACTGGGGCGCGCGTGTGTGGCACACGCGGTGGGAGAGCAGTGGCGCTGCAGTTTGATCGCTGCGCTACGAACCCGGTGACCCCACATTTGATTATTTGATTACCGCTCGCGGCCAACACCGGTGAGGATTATCTAAAGCAGTCCCCGGGGCTCCCCCCTAGGCTCGACTCGACCATAAATTAGTACCAAGTGCGGTGTATGGAGACTATCAGCACGAGGGGGCAGAAACGAATGTGGCCGGGCCGTGGTGTTGGCCACACCACAATCTCTCGCGCGGCAGACTGGCCTCTGTGCTCGTGCATTGTTCAGGAATGTGTGCGCTCCGAAAGGAGAGTGTGTCTGTGTGTACATTGTGGGGAGCGTAAGCGTAGTGGTCAGCGCGCTGCTGCGCTACGAACCTGGCGACCCCCGGTTCGATTCCCGCTCGCGGCCGACACAAGTGACGATTATCTGAACCGGTGGTGGGCCTCCCCTAGGTCGACTCGGCCTCAAATGAGTAGCTGGTGCGGCGTTGGATAAACATCGCCACTGGGGAGACAAAGGCTGCCGGGCGTGGTTGCTGGCCGCCCCTCGTGTGCCGTTCCGGCCTTCATAGGTGCTCGCTAACAGCACTTGCCCCAACAGCCTGTTAAGGCTATACGGGGGATCTTTGTGTGTACATGCACGCATGTGTGTGTGCGCGCACATTCATCCGAGTACATACGTGTGTGTGTGTGCGCGGGACGCGAGCAGCTCTCGGTGCTCTCAGTTGCCCACTGCTTGCCACGGGCAGATGAAAATTAGCCGTCACGACAAATACCTAAACGCTGGTTGGGAGTTCAGACGTCCTGTGTCAAGCACAATCCCGTCTTCGTCATCCCGCTCGAGTGTGGATGTACTGGACCCCGACTGTTTGCGCCGCGTGTCATTGTTGGATGTTCACCGCGACCGTGGTACGGGTCGTCCCGTCAAGCACGTTTCCACTCGTGCATCGGACGTGATCCGCGGCGCGCGCGTTGGGGGGAAATTGCGACGCGGTTTACGATTGATCGCTCGCCGCCGCCACCGCCGCCGCCGCCGGGATGGCGCGAAGCCACGAGGTTTTCCGCCGCACGCTCCTTGCTTTGTGAGCCGTCGATGGCGGTGGAGCGTACCCCCGGCTGTGATCCGACCCCATGGCGGTTACTTAATGCCGATTTTGGTCCTCGTCACGAGAACCTCTCGCAGCCCCGCTCCGGCCGTGCAGCAATCCCCGAGCGCATCGTGTGGGCCAGATTCTCATCGTTTTCGGCGGGATTTCACTTTTGTCGGATAAAAAAAAAAAAAATTGTTGCGAAAAACACGCCGACGTCTCCATTGCCAACAGTGGCGGCACGGGAAAGTCGGTGAAAGTGCGGTTTTGTTGACGGTTTCGTCAAAATGAGAATCCGAATACCCCCTCCCCCTTTTTGGTTTTCCGGGGGCCTCGTGTTCTTTTTTTGGCAACTTCTGGAGTTCGGTCTGTCGGTCGGCGGGAAGGGTTTTGCTCGCGAGACGAAACTCGCAATAGGGGGCGGCCCCCTGGTCGGACGGCCATTTTGCCGACGCTCCTCTTTGTCAGCGGCAGGCTCGGCGTCCCACTGGAACCGACATTCCTCCAAAGAGAGGTTGGCGTGGTAGCATTCATTGGTAAGCGTGCGGTTTGTGTTGATTATCTGGACCGGTCCTGCACCTTTCCTAGGTCGACCCGGGCATGGTGCTAGCCACGCCCCCACCCCTGCTCGTGTACCATGCCGGCATTCGTAGGTGCTACTCGTCAAAACAGCACTTGTCCCGAGAAAGTATGTTAAGGGCGACACGGGGGATCTTTGTCTTTGGGCTGACAGAGAGACTGATATGATTGCACGCCAGGCTTGTAGAACCACTGCCGTGTGGTTATCGACGCCGTGATCCTCTCGCTGTGCGTGGCACGCGACGCGACGTGCTAGCGCCGGCTTGCGTCAGCCTCGCCGATCGCCGACCGGCAGTGGTCCCCGCGGCTACGACCTCAACGTTTTATTTCATTTTTTAAAAAAATGTGCACTTATCGATCAATAAATCAATCAATCAATAAATCAACTTGCGAGTTGAAGTTAATATCCGTCTGCCGGCGTGCCTCGATGTAACGTGGCGATGTCGGAGGCTGCCGTCTTGCTGATGATAACGCAACGGGCGAAATCTCCGCGCTCGGGGCGCGAGTGCGTTCGCGGTCGGAGAGGGCCGGGTGCGCCTTTGGCGGTTCTGAACCAGTTGTACGGACTCCACATTCCCTTGGTGGGTGCCACTCCGTACGACGGCGACGACCGTCGACCTACACACATACACACAGACGCAGGGTGATCCTCGTGTTATTGATCCGGTCAGGATGAAAATCGGTTATTGATCTGGCAAAGTTGATCATTGGCAGGGAGGACTGTTCGGACAGTGGCGACGCCGATAGTGACGACCAGGTGACGATGGCGCTGAACGGGCTGCTGCGGTGCTCTGCCGCCTTCTCGGCCCCGCTCTGAGAGCGCTCGAAACGACGAGCGGAGGAGAGTGTTGAAGGGTGAAGCCAATTCAGCCACGAGGACTAGCCCCCTACCACCGACTCTCCCAAACTAGTCAAATCAACGACTTGTACTAACCCGAATAATAATAGCCAACTAGCCAAGCAGCAATTATCCCTCTCAATAAACCTCCCCCTACCACTTGCGCTAACCAACCAGTCATGAGTTCTAGCCCCCTATCCCTAACTTTAACCAATTAGCCAAACCAGCCACGAGTACTATCCCATCACCCCTAACTTTAACCCCACCTATGTCGCTGCGCCGGGACTCCTGCTCAGTCATGTTGCTCGGAGCGCGCCGAGCTACAGGCTCCGATCCCTCTCTCTCCCCCTGTCGCCCTCTCCCAATGCGACTCTTTCCCCTCGGGTCTCTCTCTTTGCGAATGAACTTTCATCCTGTGGGTCATGGCGCGTGCCCGCAGTGTCACACGAGTCGAGGATTGTTGTGTCGCTGTGTAATGTAAGTGCTGTGTAATGTGGAGGGTGGTAGTGATTGTGTGTGTGTGGTGTTGATCGTGTGCCTTGCTGTGTACTTCTCAATAAAGTGTCTTTATAACTTTCGTCGTGTCGTGTATCCAATGCTTTATCGGTTGTGCCCATCGGCGTTGAGAGCAGTCCCGGTCGAGCTGAGGGTCGAGGCGCAGCCCTGCAATTGCTCGCTGACGCCACTGCTGGTGGAAGGGCGTCCACCAGAGGGAAGGCCAGAGAGCCCCCCTTCCTAACGGGGTGCTTTAGCCCGGATATTCCACGGTGGCCAGACTTCTTGGAAGACGTGGCAGTCGGCCACATTTACTCCACAACAGACGGGTCTGCCGATCGAGTAAATTGGTGAAAACCCATGGTTTTTCTCCCGTTGGGCGCATTGAGGCGACGGAGGCATTTAAGAAACTCGCCCCAGTGTTTCGACTGCCGCGCCGGGGAATGGAGTCGAATCGGCGAATTCTGGATTGCGAGTCTAGTTTGCTCGCCCATGGCATCATTCCTAGCGACAGATGTACGTAGGAAGTAAATCATGTACATGGAGTCCTGCATGGAGGGTGCTGGTCACGTGGGTTGTTCGACCATACTTCACCACGCTGGTCGGTTTGGATTGGTGAAGAGGACACCCAGCACCGGTTCAGATATCGCGCTCGCCACTGACGCCAGCCGTGGCCAGGAATCGCAACCGGTGCGGGGGTGGGTGCGGGGTGGGTGTGGGGTGGGTGCGGGGTGGGTGCAGGATGGGTGCGGGGTGGGTGCAGGGTGGGTGCGGGGTGGGTGCAGGGTGGGTGCGGGGTGGGTGCGGGGTGGGTGCAGGGTGGGTGCAGGGTGGGTGCAGGGTGGGTGCAGGGTGGGAGCGGGGTGCAGGGTGGGTGTGGGGTGGGTGTGGGGTGCAGGGTCGGGTGTGGGGTGCAGGGTGGGTGCGGGGTGCGGGGTGCGGGGTGCAGGGTGTGTGTGGGGTGGGTGGGAGAGTGCTCGGCCAATGGGGAGCGCGGGGAGAGTTCGGCACCACGGGGACTCTGGGCACCGCGGGGGGTCAAAAGGGAGGGGTTGAGGGGGGTGGGAGTCGCTCTCGGGCTTTATAACCCGCGACTCCACCCGACAGAGCCACCCAGACTCGATCCGGTTCGACCCACGGCTCCGCTCCAACCTGCGACACCGCCAGCAGCGACATGGTGAGAGGACTGAGAGAGACCGCCACCCTTGAGAGACAGATGGGGAGAGAGAGATGGGGAGAGAGAGGATGGGGAGAGAGAGACCGCCACCCTTGAGAGAGAGAGAGATGGGGAGAGAGAGAGATGGGGGGAGAGAGAGATGGGGAGAGAGAGAGATGGGGAAAGAGAGAGATGGGGAGAGAGAGAAAGATGGGGAGAGAGAGAGATGGGGAGAGAGAGAGCCGCATGCTGCTCTTCAAGTACACTGGCTCCGTGACAATGTTTATTAAGGACCCACCACCGTCTCGTATTCACCACCACAGTGCATTGCCGATTGTGACATTTTTAGTTTTTTATCGAATTCGAAA